CTCCCTGCCAAGGTTGCCTCGCAAAGAGGGAGAGTGTAGGAAAAGTGGCAAAGGCCCAGGGGGATGCAAATGGGTGCAAAGAAGCACATCTGCTGCAAAGTGACATTGCCACCACGCTGGCAGGGACACGGCTGCAACAGGCTGTGGCACTCTTTGCCTTCTCCAGCTCCATCCCTGGGTACACATTAGCCCACACTTTCAGGTTATTTCAAACTGCCCCAAGGCAGGAACTTCTAGAGATAGCCTGCAAGACTTACCTATTTGACTGAAAAATGTTGCTTTGCCTTGAGAGGTGAACCCAAGCCCACACTGGCATCCAGCCCCAACACATGGTTGATGGTGGCCAGCCCAGAGAACCAATGCTCTCTTCAGACCAACCAACCCAATCCCTAAATATTTGTCAGTACCCACAAATTTCCCATTGCTGTCCCCAGATTCCTATCATTTGCCTGGATCAGAGCTGTTTGGCAGCAGAGCTGGCACAGATGCCTGCACTGGGGCCTCTGTGCCCTCAGCTCCTAAAATCCCTGGGTGGAAGGAGCAACCTCTGCTTGCTTTTCCTAAGAAGGATGTTTCCAGTCTTTGCAGATGCTCAGGGATGTGGCTCTAATGCTTCCAAAAGAGAAGAGGAAGGAGAGAACCCAACCACATTATTAGCTTTAAATATCTCATGACCTTTTACTGCAGATCTCAAGATCTGAGGCGCAGCCTGCCTCACGGTTCGTTAACATTTCATGTTGTCAGCACGGCCAATGGGTTCAATTAGACTTCGCGACGGCATCTGCAAATTGCTGGCAACCCACCGGAGGAAATCCTCCCTCGGCCTGGCCGCCAGCTCTGATGCTCCTTAAGAAATACCTCCTGAGCCATCCCACATTCCTGGGATGTGCACTGAGCTGGTCAGTGCTCAGCACATGGGATATTCCCTTGGAAACTGGGGAAAGGGCAGCTCCCGCTCCAGCAAACACCACAGGGCGGGAGCAAATCGGATGCAAGACCTGCCCTGGTCTCTTCAAAGATGCTCGGGATGGTGCTTGGCCACCCGCCTGCATCTAGGGGTGAGTGTGCAGATGTGCTGGAGGGGAGATCGCATGTGTGAGCGTGGCGATCGCTGCTGTTGTGAGTTAACTGAAGGAGCCTGTAAAACCAGAAACAGGCTATTAGCAATCCATTAGGAAAGGGTATCCAGTTCCAGCCTAGGTAAGCCATTAGAGGAACATCTGAGAGCATTAGGAGAGCTCGCTTGGGGCCAGGATGGAGCTATAAAACAGAAGAGGAAACCACGCTAATCTGGCTTGAATTACAAACTTAAAAGCAGGAGAAAAATAAAGGATACCCTAAACATTTAATGTTTTATATTTAGGAGACAGAAGGGGAGATTCTGCCAAAAGGAGAGAATAAAAAACCTGTTTAGGCTACAAATATCCCATCTCTCTTCTGGCAGCAGAGAAACCACCAGCCCCTCTTCCAGAAAGGGAGGAGCGTGACTTGAAAGTTGCTTGAGTTTCAGAGCGAGCTCAGTGCTGCTGGGGCAGAGGGGAGTCGGTGGCCACTCGAAGTGACACGATGTGATTCAGCTGCGTTCTGAACAGCTAGGAAATGCCCTTGCCTAGGTTTGAGGGAGCAGCAAGATGGTTCAAGGAGCATCCAGCACACGCCCTGCTGCACACTTACACGGAAACTCATCATCATCATCATCATCTCTCCATGATAATAATTCCCAGAGCACATAATCGTAACTCCCAGAGCAAACTGCAACATGAGACCTGTTAAGCAGCTGGAGCAGAAAGGTGCTGCAGAGCAGGGGAAAACGTCATGCTGGGGCTCAAACCCACCTTTGCAAAGCACTAGGAAGGGGTTAAGGGTGTCCCCCACAGCACTGAGTCAGTCCCAGATATTGCTTGGTGGAGGAGAATGCTTGGGCCAAGCATCACCTGGGTCTCCCTTGTGGGGGAAGCTACTTTTATGGGTAGCTTGAGCAGCAGCGGTCTTGATAAGATCCACGGCTCACGCCACAGATGGCTTCATCTTCTGGTGCCAAGCCCTGGCATTATTAAAATCCTGAAAGGAAAAGCCTGGGAGAAGGCAGACGCTGATTGAATCAGGCCCTACGGTATTCGACAGCTCGACATCCATCTGATCCTATTAGTGCTCATTCGGTCCTGCCTGCTGAGGTGCTGTGCATAAATCAGACCCTGCAAAGATAACGGGAGGCAGAGGGGAGAAGAGGGACCAGATTCTTCTGCCAGGAAACACCACCTGAGAGCAGGGCCTGCACAGATATTCCTGGCTCCATGCCATCTCCAGTGCTCCCTTGTAGGTTTGCTCCCACAGGGATGCTGGGCTTCCCGTGGGGCTGCCAAGGAGGGGGCGGGAGATGCCTCACACCCACAGCTGGTGTATGGGTGGGCTGCCACCAGGAGGCAGGGACTCAGCGTGGGGACCCTGGGCACACAGGGATGTGTCAGAGCATGATGTTACCCAGCTCCTCCTGGCTGATGGCAGAAACTTCTCCTCTCCCTGCTGGGATCCCAAGCTACCCTGTTATCAGCCAGCAGGTTGTGTGCAATGGCTTTTCCATGGTGGCAGCCAGTGGGGACAGCAATAGCCAAGATGGGAGGCAGCTGGATGCAAGAAACCTTCACCTTGGCAAGCATTAAGACACCCCCATGCAAGTGTGGCATGCATGACTACTGCATTGTTTCCTAGGACACTTGTCTTTTCCAGGAGAGACCCAATGCCACCATGACAGGACAAGCTGGGTGGCTGAGCTAGGCTTGCTCTTGCCAAGCCATGTCCCTCCCTTTCCTGGCCAGCCTTGGGGCAGCAGGGACACCCCCAAGATGGAAAGAAGCGACAGGTCAAGCAAAGCAGAGCTCAGCATGGCTTGAGCTTGCTCCCAGCGTGCTAGCATCGGCAGGGTTCATTTTTGGGTGCAAACCCCTGCATTTGCAAGGTGCTGGCTAGACTAAGCAGGCTGGGCGTGCCAAGGGGGTCTGGGGTTGGAGCAGCTCTGGCTGCTGCAGCACTGCCATCCCCTGGTGTTTGGGAGCTGATTGAATTAGGCTTCGCAAATAATTCAACTGATGAATAGTGGCAGTTTTCCTCAAATCATCCACAAATCAGATTTTTCATTACCTAGCCGGCGGGGCAGAGAGTCAGAAAACAAGGCTGGTACCTCACTCGCTGAATGCTTGCACTTGCTCACCAACCTAATTATTCCCCAAACACACTTCTCCATCAGCCAGTGACAGGGGATATGTCTCTTGCAAGGGGATATTGATTAAAAGTGGTACCCAGGACTGCTGTGCCCTCCTGGGATGCAGAGAGATCAGCTCTTACCAGCTCTCCTTGCATCCACCATGAGGGGTGGTACCTTGAGCTCAGGGTATATTTAAATAGGACAAATCAAGTTTTTACTTCTCTAGAACTGACTTTTCCCCTCAGGGTGGCCCTTCCACCAGTGTTGCCAACACCTCCATGTATTTCCCATCATTGCTGCCTGCCTGAGAGCATTAATGGAGAGGCCACAGTGTCTCCTCGAAGGCCTTGTGGTGAGGGGACTGGCATGGCTTGACCCTGTACATATGGTGCCTAATACCCAGTGATGGAGGGAACATCCACCCTGAGGGTGTTGAAGTGGGAAGCAGCTCACTGGTTCTCCCACCATTTGGTTCTTTCACCATTTTTGGGTATAAACCCTTGCATTTGCAGGGTGCTTGGCTGGATCAGGCTGTGCCAGGGTAAAAAAATCAGCTTTTTCTACAACAGTTTCACACCTTAAAAGAACTGATGTTGTGTTTAGTATTTCCCAGTAATTCCTTCCCTTTTTTACAGCTTCTACAGTCTGAACATTTCTCCTCAAAGTGAAAAAAAATATCCACAGCAAACTAATACCCAGACTCCACCTCAGCTTCCTTACCCCTCGCAATGCTCCAGAAATGCTCTTCTCCTCCCAGGAAGGAAGCAAAGGGCAAAGAGACAAGCAGGAAAACCTTCGTCCAACCCTTTTTTTTTATTTTCAAAGTCATTGGCAAATGTTCCAATCTGCAACACGACTTGTGCCACTGTCTTTTCAAAAACCCTAACAACCACCAACAATAAAAAAGTGCCAAGGCACTGATATGTTGTAGAGACATGAACAAAGCCTCCCATCCCCTCTCACTGATGTTTCCCTCCATAAGAATTGCTGGCTGGTGGAAAACCTCACTTCACTCCACGTTGCAGGTGAGCTCCTCAGGGACCAGGTGCTGCCTCCTATTTGTCTTATTTTAAAAGGGGGTAGGGGGGGAACGCTTTATCAAGAAGAACACCTATATAGCTTTTGACTGGCCCAGCTTGGTGCAGAGGAGATGCTGGATGAGCCATGCCAGCGCAGCAGCAGCTCTCCTCAAGCAGCAGATTTCTTTCCTTCACAAGCCAAGCATACAAGCAGCACACGGAGGAAAAAAATAAAGCCCGTTTGTTATCTTCTTGCAGCTAACAAATGAAATCTGTCCTCTGGGCTGCCAAGGATTTCACTGACTTTTTCTTTTTTTAAAAAGAAACAAGAAATAAAAGTAAGAAATACGATAACATCTCAGCAATCGCTCCCTGACTGTGCTCTGAGTTACGGTGAGCGCTACTTTATCTTCAGTTCAAAATCTAAATGTGGCAGAGGCACATTTGAATGTGGTGACATTTATACTTTAAATGCCTTTTACATCTCGTTGGCAGGTTTTATATAGGACATATGTATGGAAAGTAGATAGGGGCCATGGATGAAAATCCAGAGTGGGGAGAGCCTGCAGAGCCATTTGCAGGCAGAACGTGAGTTCAAAGACAGACAGAGAGGAAGAGAGAAGGGAGGAGAGACAGAGAAGAAGAGGAAAAGCGTCTGGGTTGCCTGGGCAGTAAACAGACATTTTTTTGGTCCCTGATCACTTGTTCCCAGTGCAACTTGTTCCCAGCCACCAGGTCCCCCCACTCCCTCCCGTCCCAGCCAGCTCAGCATCACTTACGTGTTGCCACTGGTCCAGGATGAGGGGCCGATACCGCAGGAAGAACTTGAGCGGGAAAGATTCGGGGTCAGGCCAGGATGAGGGGTTTTGCCATGACACCTCCAGTCTCCGAGGGTTATTTGGGACAGGTTTGGCCACCACGCTTTCCGGAGGGTCTGGCTTTACTGGAAGAGAAGAAGGTGGCTGGTAAAGCTTTGCACTCGGCATCTTTCCTTACACCCCTTGGCACAGCTGGTTGGGCTCTGTGCTCTGTGCTTTCCAAGGGGGGCAGCCAGCATGCAGAACATCCTTTTCCCAAACTAATTTGATGCAAATCACCTTTTCTTATCTGGGTCAGTGATACAACTGCCCTGGCTCAAAATAACCACTGTCATAGGAGGCACCAGTGCTGGAGATCATTGGAAACAACCTGGACAGGGCAGAGAGCATCCCTCTTGGCCAGGGCTGTATGGGTCAGGGCAAGTAGCCCATTAAGCTCAAATCTTGCTCTTCCCTCACATCTCCTGATTTCTGTGAGTCTGACCCACATTCAAATCTGCTTACCTCACAGTAATGTGTCAGAGTTTTCCCCTTGGGTTTAGGGCTTCAAAGAACTGGCATATCATATTTGCCAAAGGTGAAGGATGGCCACAGTCACCTTTCACCCCAGGTATCTTTCTTCCTCAGCTCTGCTCTGCTTTTGGAATACAGAGATGTTTTCTTGCTACTAGACAACTATTTCAAGTGGGTATTAATTGGCTACAAGATATGCAATATGCTTTGAAGTTGTAGCTACTTCAAGAGAGCTGTGATCAAATCACAGACAGGCTGTGATGAATGGCATTACCTGTTGCAGAGAAGGTCTTGCACCTCACCAAGGGTTTCCTCAACTCCTGACAGCTCCAACTCCCCATTTGCAATAGTAAGGCTACAAGTCTGAGATTTGGCTACACCCATGCATCTCCTTTTCTCGTGGCTCAGCTGGGCACAGGGAGCTGGGTGCACAGCTGTGCCGGAGGTGTAAAAAAGTTCTCTATGCCTATGTTCTATTAAGAACAGTGATGCACATGAGTACTCATGTCCCGGGAGGGCCCTCCTGGCCTGAAAATCTCTGGATTGAGTAACGATCCCCTTATTCTGACCACCTCGAGCAGCAGCTTAAGGTGCCAGTGTCAAACTCCACTCCCAAGCATGATGGAGGTATGC